CAATGATTGCACACCGTTCAATCTTCCCATGAAGATTGCAATCGGCAGTTCAAGTCCGGGATGAACACAAAGCTTTTTATTCAAATTCCGGTTTGTACGTAATATGTGCCAATAATCACCTCATTTGCCTTGCTAATCAGCTAAGTAGAGCTTATCAATCACTAACTTTATTTTATAACCTTGATATACAATCATATATGTATATATAGTATGTATTTATGTTTGAGCTGTGTGCAAATGTGTACATGGACTATTTAAATAAGTGAGTGTATAGAATTCCAAAGTCTTACATAACATATACCTCACTATCGAATTAATACTGCGGAATCTTGTTTAAGAAAATTATCTAAATTCACCATCAAAATATATGTCGACTGCAGAGCAATAAAAAAGAGATACAAGATAAGTAAAAAGATAAGATGTTCAGTTGTTGTGATAGCCGGGTGAAAGGCATATAACATACAACGTTGAAGAAATTTTTTCAATATACTAACTGGATAACGAAACTAAAAGGGGTTAAAAATGAAAAAGAATTTAAAGAAAGAAGTAAGAAAGTCTAAGTTCGGGCGAATAGTTTTTTCACCTTTCCGAAAACTACCGCTACATGGTAAGCAGCGGTGGTTTTACCCCTATTTCAAACATCTTCGATAGAACGTTCGGTTAGACATAATGAGATGATAATGCTACTTATTTTCAAGGGATTTTTGTTAGTATCATTAACGTCCTTAAATTTCGAAATATCGAGGTTTCTAGCATTTCTGAAATTTACCGTTAAATGAAAAGTGGCAGTAATTTCAGAGTTTTTCTTTTACGTGGCAAGCACAAGAATCGTACCGAGTTTGATACGAATTGATCGAACGGTTACCGAGATACACATATGTGGTCATAAGTGGGCGGTGCCACGCCCATTTTACAAATTTTATCATAAACCTATTTTGTGCTAAAGAATTATTGCAAACATCAATTTTAAATAAATAAGATGTGGGCGTGGTTATTGCCCGATTTTAAAAATTTTCAACCATTTGGTATGCTCTACGAAGGCCAACAATTGTGGAAAGCTTGAAAGAAATTGGATGAGCGGTTACCAAGATATACACATTTAATCATAAGTGGGCGCGGCAACGACCATTTTGTAAAACTTTCTAATATTATTATTTTTCGTCTTAAAATCATTGTAAATATCAATTTTGAGTGAATGAGCTTCACTAGTTACCAAAATATCTCATTCTCTATATGGGAAGTAGGCGTGGTTATTGTCCGATTTTTCCCATTTCCCAATACCATACGTCCTACGCTCAAAAGAAGTGCACACACCGAGTTTCGTTAAGATATCTCAATTTTTACTCGAGTTATCGTGTGCACAGACGGGCGGACGGACTGACAGACAGTCACCGCTTAATCGATTTATTTTTTCATTCTGATCATTTATGTATACATTTGTCTATACCTATCTCGATTCGTTTTGCCTGCTACAAACAACCGTTATGTGAACAAAGTTATAATACCCTTGTGCACAAGTGCGCTCGGGTATAAAAATATGGGCATAACTTATGCTCGCTTTTAAAGCATCACTTAGATATTTGTGAGCATTTTAGTTGATGTTGTTGTAATAGCACTCGATTCAGTTGCAGTATTTCCAGTCACCCTCTCTCAATGGTGTGGGGCTTACACTCTACAATATCTAAGGTTAAAAACCTCGGCATAATTCTTGACAGCAAGTGGGATTCGAGTCGGCGGCTTACGGAGCTTCCATAAGCCATGATCAGCTCTTTGGCTGTAAATCAGCGGTGGGGAAGCGATGTGGTCTGAAAACCCACACAATACACAATACACACACAATACAGTGGATGTACAGAACGGTTGTCCGACCTTACCCAGAAGATAATTCATGTAGGCTTACCCAATAGCGACTGAAAAAAGTGCCGAAAACATACTTCACATGAACCTAAAACGAATATATAATTTGTATAAATTAAATAAGGAGCTTTAGAAGAACTATTCCAAAAGCCCTTCTGAAGTCCGTCCCACAAAAGCTCTTCTGGTAGCGAAAGCAAAAGCCCTTCAATTTGTGCCCCTCCATACAAAAAAATTAAGGAGAAAGGAATGCAAAGTGGAAAGCCTCTTGACTCTCAGTAATGCCTTTCGCAGGAGCTTTTAGCTCTAGAAATTATCTGCTGGGAAGGTTCGGTCACTAGAAAATTCTAGACACTATTTCAGCAACTTTATGTGAACTGGATAGATATACCTTCCCAATATTTTGCCAATTGTCCATTAGAATTCCAGACAGAAATTAATTTTATATAAAAGCCTCTCCTTAAATTCAGAAGCGTTTTCTAAACAGAATTGACAGATATCACTCACTTATGGCTCAATAGTGCCGTTACTTCTCTACAGTCCGTTACCATTTATTGTGGCTGTCGAATATAGGAAGATTTGAAACGTGGTAACGGCGAATTTTATTGCTGGACTGTGCCAAGTGGTAATCATCGTAACCTAACCTAATGAGGGAATCAGCTGGAGTGACAGTCCTTAGCCTCATGTAGATTTTGGTCGTTCCGGTTACGTAGACCCGAATGTCGTCGTCGTAACGACAAGTATTTTTGTGTTTGGCGACAAGTTAGCGCTGATTATCTATCTACAAATGCACTAAAACATGTTAAAAGCAGTTCGAAAGATAGAAGAGGCAAAATTTATGTATTTAACAAATTAAAATGAAGATAATTAAAAGTGTTGCAGAAAAGTAAATGTGAAGTAATAAACAAATATGTACATAATCGTGTTAAGTTGCCTTGGAGGCGCTTCAAGTGGTTGCAAAGTACGCTGGTGCCATGTTGCGATAAGTGTAAACAAGCATAGTACTTTTAGATAAAGGCATAAGTACACTACATATGTATGTAGTAAAGAGAATAAACAATATAAACAAATAAAGACGAGATAAAAAGGCTGTATCATGTTAAAAAGATAGAAAAAAAAAATAGAAAGAAGTCTGAGACGGCATGTAAATACATAGAAGTCTGTTGGTTTTTGATTTCAAAGTAAAAATTACATGCTACTTATGCAGTGCAATGCAAAGTATGCATAACTGAGCTATCAGACCTTTTTCTTATCGTTCCCACGACAGTCGGGTCTACGTAACCGGAACGACCCAGATTTATATTTGGCCAAGGACTGTCACTCCAACAACACTCCCCAAAAACTCTTTGGGGAGCTTGTATGCTGTTACAACAACAACAACAACAACAACTTTTTTCTTATTATCTAAATATCAATTGCTGTATTTTATTTTCTTCAGCACTATTTTCTGTTAAGGTTTTTGTTTTAATTATATTTTTTTGGTTGGCATGCTTTTGATTACTTAATTGTAATTAAATGCAATCAGGTCGGAAGTTGATACATCATAAAAAAAAAACTTTACAAATAAACAGTATTTACACCAGCTATCATAGTATTATCATTTATGATAAACCCGCTTACTTACTCTAAATTAACTTTCGCTGATATATTATAAAGTTCTTTAAAATTCTAGGGAAACGTATAATTTTAGATAATGCGTCAAAGATAATGGGTAAATGCGTGTATGATAAGCATGAAATTCTCACATATTTTCTAAGAAAAGCTTGAATTTTTCTCTGGGAATAAAAAAAGGACAAAATACAAATTGGAAAGAAGAAAAAGAAGACGTCCTAACGAAGAACCTTGAACATTTACATACATACATATCTCATGTTTTTGAATCTATCTAAGCATAATAATTTTATGCATGACTTATGTAAATATGTAAATTCATACTAGAGTCTCAAATAAAATTATGTAAATTTTGTGGCAAACGGAAAGGCACTAATGTAAATCATATGCATAGTACATTTATAAAAGCACTTATCCACTATACACATTTACAACCACACCAACATACATACGCATATATGCGTTTGCCTTTATAAAATTGAAGTAACAAAAAAAGTCGTTGGTAAATGCGCCAGTATGTCTGGCTGCCGCCGATTGGTATGTGCATCCAAATGACCGTGATTATAATGAAGATTATACATAATCGCGCATGCACATACAAGGCATACACACGAATAAAAATGGAGATGTGCATAAGAAGTGAATGCAGGCGGCTGATGATGACAATGCGACAAATAGACAATCACCCAGACAGTCATTCAGTCTAGTCGTCATCGTCTTCGACGTCTCTATCGTCGTGTTGAAACTGCCAATGATTATAAACGATGCGATATGCGGTTAATTCATAAATTATTAAACAGTCTTCAAAAGTTGAGGAAGTGCAGACAATGCAAATGCAATGTCATACGAGTCAGGCAGAAGCAGAAGCAAAAGTAGCAATAGCTAGCTGTATCAGCAGCCAACACCGATGGCAGTAAAAAAAATGTGACACGCTCTGCCACCAGAAAAAAAGCAAACATACGCGAGCGCGAACTTATCGCTCCGCACACCAACACGCTACCGGCTCAAACCACAACAACCACTGTTGATGACTACCCCAGCACTGTGGTGCTGCTGACAGCTGAGCCGTGCTTCTTTTTACATTTATTTTTGTATAATGCACCCGCTGGATGCCGTTGGTGTGAATTTTTTTACGCTTCATTGCAGTCTCGTGACTGCATTGCAATTTCTGGGATAATGGTAGAGGCTGGAGGATGGGTTGAAGGTGGTTGCTGCTCAATGACGTCGGTTGACTTTGTTTGCATAGATGAGAAGTTATAAGCTTTGGAAAACATTTTAGTACTGCGTAGTATGCGCCCTTTTTCTTTGCTAATCATACCACCCACACCCACACTGTGCGTTGGAGAATTTCCTATGCGTTTTGTTGTTGGCGACCTTGGCAAGGATGCTGGCCTTCGTGCGCTGTTTATCGGCAGTAGAGATTTATATAAATAAACACTTGGAAATTTGAATTTCAAAAATAAAGTAAGATAGCTAGAATGTTGTATGCCTCCCAAAGCGATATACTAAATAGTATAATTTTTAATTTCACTTACTTGTTAAATGTTTTCTGATAATCTTTGATTTGTTTTCTGGAGAATTCATGGAATTCCGTGTAGACATTAACCACTTTGAATTGATGTGCCACTTCAATGCCAGCCTCTTGTGAATCCATAATTACTTGTCTGCGATTCAAAATGTGTGTTAATTCTGATGAATCACTGCCTGCTGAGGAATCGCAGCTACCCGGACGTCCCAGCGAAGGTCGGTTGCCACTGCCATTGCTGATGGGCACACCGGTTACTGACGAGGATGCAGATGATGCATTCGATGAGACCGACATTTTTTCACTATATGTATAAGTTGTGCAAAGAAAACTATCAAATGTTCACTTGTGCAAAACAGGGCGTATATCCTTATTCGCTATGCCTTATGCACTTTAACGGCTCAATGCAGTTGCAGGTGTACACAAGTGTTTTGCTTGTTTGTTTTAATATTTTCCTTCCAATTCTTTTACAGCGGGTAGGTCATCAAATACACACCCTTATCACGTTCGAGGACGAATGACGACGTAAAAAGGATAACAGAGAAAACAGGCACAATAACACCGACAAATACTTAAAATTCTTTGATTTTCGACAACGATGGGATATCAAGGATACAGAAAATGTTTAAAAATACAAATACGCGCAAAGGACAATTCGACGAGTTTCAGTTTTCGCGCAAGTGTGGGCGGGTAGGCAATTTCAAGTTTTTCTCTATTTTCAGAAACGCATTTCTGTAAATTACACTTATCACTTCGAAACTAGTTCAATCACTATAGCAAGGCTATGTATTTTTTGTTAAATTAAATGTTTTGTTTTCCAATAATAAACAATATCCGTTATTTTTACCGCTAAACGTCCGATACGAAATGCACAACGACTGCACGCAACAAGAAAAATGTGTGTAATGAAATGCAAAAACACAACACTGGTCGAACTGGCCTTTTCTGATTTGACTTAAAAGGTTACCGTATCGACGAAAATTGCTTTTAAATTCCGCATGCTGCCGTACTTGTCAGCTGTTTGCCTTAACCCTTGATGACACCTCCACGTTTTACTTGATTGTTTCTGGACTGAAAAAAGTTGCCACAAGTTAAAAAGAATGACAAAATAAAAACGTCAAGACAATAAAGATATACGTATTAGTTGTCAAAAACGCTGATAATTGTCTCCATGGCGTAGGTGTCCTGACAATAGTTAACACAATTCGTTTTGAGCTAAAAACTAAAAAATAAAGAAGAAGAGACAAAATTACAAACACATCAGCGTCTCCTTAATTATTATAGTTATTTTGTTATGAATTTCTCATTTTTCTTGCACAAGACGTCAAAATTATTATCGGCATACGTCATATCATTGTCCGATTTACAGTCTTCAAAATAATCAAGCCAGTGATTGAGACAATTGAAGATGTATGCATGTATTAGTAAAAAAAGTGTGCATGTATTGCTATTGTTATGGCAGTATTGTCCGGTGTAAACCCTAAGTTATACAAATTTCTTCCGCAGTTGTGTTTAAATTCATATTTGTAAGTCTGGGTTCAGACAGAGAAAATTTTGTCGCGGCAACTCGTTACTTGTGGTAGAGCGAGTGACGAGGAAGGGCACCGAGTTGCTCGTGCTCGGGCAACACGCTTTGTGCTCTCGTTCGTGTGAACGCGAAGGGCAACACCAAAAGAGAAGTTGCCGAAAATGAGCAAACAATTTTCTCAGTGTGAAGCCAGTCTAACAAACCCGACTTCCAGTGGATTTTCAGTTGAGGAATCTGTGATGAACAGTGGCCGAGTTATTTTTGGATAAAATCAGTGGATTAATAAACTTAGATTTTTTTTTAAAGAAAAGACTATAGTTTTAGCATTTCTTTACGACACCAAGCTCTTCACAGCAAAACAATATTCCATATAGTGCGGAACTGTATAATGCTACAACATAAAATTGCCACTAAATGCTTTCCACTCTTTTATCAACCACATATGACGCCATCATGGGTCTTGTTTTAAAAATTGCCGATTTATTCCATTTGCATATTCCATAGTTGGTATCCGAAAATACTATAATATACTTAAAATGTATAAGTTGCTTTGCTAATATTCTACATCTAGACTACTTTTGCTTCCAGCACTGGATGATTCCTCCTGCTCATAGTTTTGATATAGCGCCATACCGCGATGATTGAATGTGTAAAATGATGGTAAATTACCCAAGGTATCCCACGACTTCTCTTGCATATCAACTGTTGCCCGAATTTCTTTAAAATTGCCAACTACTTGGATTACATTGTAAACTACCACCAGCAAGCTGACAACGGTCTGCACGACGATCTATGTAGAAAAGAAAAATATAAATGCAATAAACTATTTTCTAATGAGCAAAATATACTGCACTCACATCCACTGGCAGCTGCGTCCAATCCTGTTCAGTTAGCCGCATATAAGTGCGATCTGGAATTCAATGAATTAAAATTTGTTTCCGATTGAGGAGCATCCATCTCTTTTTTCACAAATACTTACGGTGTGCTGCGGAAAAGGCGGCATGCAACAAACTTATAAGCCCCGTGACTAACACTATGCGGTTGACAATTTTTGTGCCCATTTTTAGCCGTTGTTGATGTTATTAACTTATAAGAATTCGGTAAAATATAAGCTAAATGAATTGCTGACCCACTGCAACAAAAGGAAATTTTAGGAAACAGCTGTTTGGTGGCAGTGGTGGAAAAGTGACTTTTTATAGTCGATAGTTATCGATTGGCTGGAGGACGCATAAAGCGAGTTAAATGTTATATAAATTTTTGTACTAATATACGTAGTTATCAGTTAGTAGTTCGTTTCTACACATAAAAAATGCTATCAGCTATGGATAAGTGATAAGCAGCAAGTTCTAACGATTCACGTTGTTATTTTTCACTGATTTTGCGGCTTGCGTACAAATCGATAAATTAAATGCCTTCTCGCTGTAGTAAAGCCTACTGCAGTGGCTTCAAAACTGCGAGAGCAAATCATTTTGCTGCCAACTTCCTGAGAGGAAATGTCATACGCTTGGCGCCATTTTATAACAGACAATTTGGAGTTTGTGCAAGTTTATTAAAAGTTATAGAAATGTTTAGAAGTGAAATAAAAGTGGAAAAGCGAATCGGCATTACAAAAGCTGGAAATCGCACCACTGTAACTGCAATGTAACTGTACGATATATAACTTATTAAAATTTACTCGTATGTAATATGTACATACATATGTATCTACTTACATATGTACATATATACATGCATATACACTATTATTACCCTTATGTAAACATGAATCTGTGCGAATGTGACCGCTTATTACTTGCAATTTTTTATTTATAGGGCTGTTCACTTACTTTATTCTTTATAGGTACGGTGAAGTACCCAGATAAGCTAATCGACTGCACTAAGGTTGACAACAGATTTGCTGTATTGTAGTTGCATTTTGTATATACATATATATATGGGCAATTCCATTGTGACTGGTGGAACATTTTACTTCAGAATTTGTTCAATTGTGTACTATAACTATGTCATCGGAACATATACAACAGCGAAACATATTTTTTAACATAGAACGGTAACTAATGTATAAAATTGCTTTAACAAAAATACCAAACGATTTCTTAGCTTTATGTAACTATCGTTTGAATGAATGGGACTGGTGGGACACTGAAAATAATGCTATTTTACCTTTGTGCACTCAAAGATGAATTTTAGCCAAAATATTTAATTTGAATGAAAAATGTTTTTGTGTGGTAAAATTTAAAATATATAAATTTGTAACTGTTGGTACATGTCCTTTCCATAGACAAAAATTGCAACTTCTTTTTATTTTTATAATAACTTTCAACAGATGAATGAAATGTAGTCATTTATAAAGAGATTACTACACTCTAAAAATTTTTGCTTAAATTTGCGCATATTAAGATAGGTAACCAGTTTCCTCTCTTAATGAATGCAAATTTAAACACTGCTTGCTTACTTTTACTTATCATATGTGTGGCGTAGAACAAATTTCAAATTTGTTTTTTGAGTTTTAAACATTTATTGTTCACATTTTCACAGTTTACACATAAAATGTTTAAAATTTACTCTAAAAAATGTTCGTTTAAATTTACGCATATAAAGAGAGGTAACCAGTTTCCTCTCCTAGTGTGTGCAAATTAAACAATGTCTGTTTACTTTTACATATCAAATTTGTCACAGAGCGCACACAAGGGGTGGGTTTTTGGGGCTAAATTTATTATGATATAAGAAATTTTGAAAGAAAAAATTTTCTTTTCCATTTCTTGTGCGTCATTTTGTAAGAATTTTTCTTTTTTTCTTGAGAGCTCTTTAAAGTTTAACTGCGAAAGAAAACATTGTCCTAGAAATATGCAATGCATACTCATTTACTGTTGCTTTTTACACTTTACAGCCTAAAAAAGTTTACCACTGATATGTACTTAATAAGCATTCGAAGATTTAATTTGCTAACTTCGAATTCGTTCCACCAAAATGAGATACATGATAAAAATACAAGTTCAGTTAAATTTTCGTTATTCGAATTATAAAAAAAGGAAGGAACCATAAATCGACGAAAATTAATAAAAAAGTGTAAACATTTCGTGAAATTATTTAATTTATTTATATTAAAATTCTTTTGTAAAATTTTGTATTACTTTTGAAAGTTGAGTGCATCTTTAACCGTTAATTTTTTCATGATTTAATGATCGGATCTAAACCAAATTACGAGACGACCCTTAAGGTACCATCTTTCCGGTAAAAAAAATAATTATTGGAATCGGTTCACGCGGTCAAAGTTATGCGTTGGAATAAATAAAAGAAGTAAAAATACTCCGAAGAATTGATAACCTCCCCTTTTTTGAAGCCGGTTAAAAATGTCTGAGTTCTTTGTAAATTTTATGTAAATAAAATGCAATCGATGATACTTTAAAAAGTTTATTTATTTATTTCATACTGTAAATAAACCTTTCATAAATGTATTTTAAAGAGCGAATTTTGAGTATTTGCTGATGATATATATTTAGAAGTATAAACCCTTTTCCCCCAAAAATATATTCCTGCGTGCTCCCCTGGCACTTAGTATTTATTATTTGTAAAAAATATATTTTTACTTTCAAAATGTTTGTAATTTAAAACATTTCATGTGTATATTTTAAACAACTCATGTTCAAAATCAAATCTTGAACATCTTGTGCGTATACTTGAACAGATTCTGGTTGAAAAATAAACACTTTTCAGTAGTAGTTTTACATGCACTTTTTAGAGTGTACTTAAATGGAAATAATTTGGCCATTTTGAAATTTATCTCGTTTTTCTCTTTTCCATGGAATGACCTATACATACATATGTGTATTATGCGGTGTGCGTTTTGAGTTCTTTTCTATTTTTGTACTGTAATAATTATTTGATAACTGACAAATTAAACATAAATATTTAGTCAACAATTCGCTATGCCTGAAATGAGCAATCCAATCACTAATGGATTCATGGCCATTGCAGACAAATATTTTCATTATGTAAGTATGTAAATAATATACTCACCTTTAATCGAATTAATTACATTTGTGGATTTTATGCGTAATTGCTTTCTGAGGAGTAGTATTATCTTTCCAGCTAGTTCCTCCATATTTTTGTAGGCCAATATACTAGCATTTTATCTTACAATATTAAACCATTATTCTGCTAAGCTATTAATATGAAAATCGAAGTTACGCGAATATTGATTAGACAGTTAATCGTTTAACCGCGGTCCCTTTGACACATATGTATGTAACTACAAAAGTAGGATTGGCTTTGCAAATAATGACTCTTTGGCAGGTATACTGCGGAACTTTGTGGACTAAAAAACCTAATGGCGGTCTGAGTAGTATTTTAAGATTGATTGACAACCACTTTCCGGGCAGCATCAACAAAATTGCAGGTATCCAAGTAGGGAGGGTCACTAAGCGCTATCGCGTTTGGTAGCGCACCTTATTTAATTAGCTTAACATGATCTTCCACCAGCAATCGTTGCACATTTAGGTTAAGGATTGACTTTCAAACGAATGCACTGCGTTCTGAGCTGATATTTATGCTATAAATAAGGAAAGCCACTATCTTAGTCAAGCGGCTGTTAAAGCAGTAGGCTCCAAAGTAGTATAATCGGGAATTGTAAAGAAATACCGAACCGCATTGGCGTCACTGGACTATCTTGACATCACTTTCCTATATTTCCGGGCAAAGAAATATAACAGGGAAACGGGTCAGCTGATGAGATGCCCGGGTGTAGTTCTGAGATTTCAATAAACGGGATAGACAACTCTGTAAAACATGTATGTACATGACTAGCCGTTAGAAATGACGTATGGATCGACCGAAATGGTCATGAAAAGTCAAGCTTACTATGGCCGGGTTTAGATAGAAAATAAAAACGATGGGAGGCCGTGAAAAACTCAAAAGATTTCCAGTATGAGTTCTTACTGACCTCAACAAAGTGCCTTCTGCAGAAGCTGCTGCGATTAGAATGAGGAGGTGGCAATTGTCCACTTTCTGTGTCGATGTCCGCGCCTGTAGTTGAGGGATCTCAAAGACCTAGGCTATATATGGTACTCTATGGAACTTATTCACTAGCTTGGCAGAGAAATTGGAGTTGAAAATCTTAGACCACCTCAAATGCATTTGGGATAGCAATTGGTTTAGCAAGTTAATGCTCTAATCAAAGTAAATATATTTTATCTTAGTAAAAGCAGTGACGGCTAGGGTAAGGCGCCTCCTGCTGGCTCTCCCTGACGCAAGGCACTCCCATAACATAAACAAAAAACTCTATTTATTTTTTATTTATATTTTATTTTATTGACTAATTGACTAAGTAAAATTTTACTGCTAAAAGAGTTACTGACTCTCTTCAAAAATATTTTGGAGAACAACTTTCAATATCGTCTTTCTTTAGACACCCGCATTGGATTTATGTAATGTTTCATTTAATATCTCATTAAACAGAACTGAAACTTTTAAGCTGGTTTAAAAAAAAATTAAAAACTCTAATCTGCAAAAGTATTTTAGAAATAAAGCTAACTTACATGTCTCTCGTTTGACACCCATACCTAAATATTTAATTTAACTTCATAAAATTGATTATGTATTTCTAAACAGGTGGCAACCATCTTCAAAAGCATTTTTCAAATAAACCTTTCTTAAACCACTCTCCGTTGACGCCCAAATTAAAAAAATGTATGTATGTACTTCACTTAATAATAATATTAATATATTGGCGCTTACACATATGTATGTTAGTGTTTGGCCGAGCTTCTCCTCCGATTTGTGGCGTGCGCCTTGATGTTGTCACAAAAAGAGGAGGGACCTATAGTTTTACGCCGACTCCGAACGGCGATTATATATTTATGAGGAGCTGTTTTTCATGGCAGAAATACACTCGGATGTTTGCCATTGCCTGCCGAGGGGCGAGCGCTATCAAGAAAAAACATTTTTTTTTGTTTTCTAAATTTTTTTGCGATGTTGCTTTGACCGGGGCTTGAGCCCAGGCCCTGCGGAGTAGAAGCGCGCACTGCTTATTCCATTAACTTTGTAGATTAAGTTGATTTTGAATTTCTAACCAAGTGGCAACCTAAGTCAAAAATATTTGCGAAATAAACCTTTCTTAGACCTGTCTTTCGGCTTATAAATTAAATTGATCTTAAATTTCAAACCAAACGACAACCTTCGTCAAAAATATTTCCGAAATAGGTTTAACCTCAAGCGTTTGACACCCATTTTAAAATATTTCATTAATCTTGTAAATTAAACTGATGTTGAATTTCTAAACAGGTGGCAATCCTCATCAAAAATATTTCAGAAATTATGCTTACCTAAACCTTTCTTGTTTGCACTCATATTAAAATATTTCATTAGTCGTGTTAATTTAATTAATCTTGAATTCCTAAACCGGTGGCAGACCTTTTGAAATTTTTTTTCCAAATGGAGCTTTCTAAGATCTCTCGTTAGTTTGGTTCACCTATAAAATATTTCATTTAACTTGTTGATTACAGTGATTTCAAACTATAAAACAGGTGGCAACCTTTTTAAAAATAATATTCAAAATAAAGCTTTCTCAAACCTCTCTCGTGTTATACTCAGATAAAAATATTTTGACTAACTTGTTAATTATATTAATTTTTAAATTTTGAACAAGTGGCAACCCTCTTCAAAGTTATTTCGAAATAAATCGTTTGGGAAGCCCTTACGTTTGACTCACACAACGTTGTAAAATTTTATTTGACCTATTAATTAGTTGATTTTAATTTTTTAAAATGGTGGTGGCTCTCTTCAAAAATTATTCAATATGTATGTAAATTCAGGTCATAACCTATATGTGTGTCGAATTTCATTGAGATACCGCCAGCCACTTTAGCGTAAAAATAGCGATAAACATACTCACAAACTTTCATATTTTTTAATAGTTACAATTAGAAGGATTGTATTCTTTCTTCAGCAATATTTCTAGTATATACTATCCATATCGTCATTTCAGTTCATGACTTTCATTGAAGTAATGTCAAATTTGCATATTATAATAAGTTACATACATACACACATTCGCACTGTTTTGAAATTACTACACGCATACATATGTATGTACAGGAATTGATATTTACCTGAACCAACTATTTTCCAATTAAGTATAATCCATATATTAATTCATAGCTCATGCCACTTTTTGCCTACATTCCATATAACAATAAAGGATTGCTGGTCAGTGCGTTGATTCCCAAGTAATTTATCGCTAACACACGCCAACCATTGCTCCTAGTTCACATCATTAATAATTTCATATACATAAGTTGAAGTAGATAGTCATCGACAATTTGATTGAAGCTTTTATAGTCATCGTATTGCATGTACATACCTACATGTCAATCTATATACATACATAGGTATTAATATCCTAACCTATGCCACCCTTTGCGTACGGCTCGCTGAATTAGCTTTCATTACAGTTTATTTATTGTTATTTTTTTCATTTATTTTAATTGTTTTCAAATATTGATTGCTAGCAAGTATAACGGTAGACGTATTACACAGTTAGGCGTTAAGTTATGTATATACATAAATAAAGGTATTAAGTGCCATGTATGTAGTATGTTTTTATTTTTACAATGTCGACGGTCTACTGAAATGTGTCTCACGTTCATCATACGCAGTGGCATTCGTCAAGTTGTTCGAGCGTTTTCATGTCAAATATTGTTTCAGCGCGATAGGTCACCAGATTACAAGTGGAGCTTTGTCTCGTTGTTGGCATTATTGGTAGATACCGTAATTCAACATTAACACTGCATGCTGATAAATTTGTTTAATTTGCAATTGAGAAGCAATGCGCAACGTTCAGCAAAAAAAAAATAAAAAAAAAATAAATTAAAATAAATTGTGAAATCTTCGATAAAAATCATGTTTGAGTTGCAGTTAGCCAGAGATTAATGCGTTTACAGGGTGTGAGTTGGGCAGAGTGAAAGGTGTAATTAAAATGAAATTATAAAATCAAAGAAAATAAAATAAAATGGATAAAATTCAAATAAAATAAAAATAGTAAAAAAATTGACAATAAAATAATAAAATAAAAAGGAAATAAAATAAAAATATACAAAATGAAAGAATTAAATAATCAAAAATAACAATTAAAAACATAAGAATATAAAAAATTCAAATTTAATAACATAATAAAAATATATAAAATGAAAAAATATTGAACATTTAAATAAAATAACTTTAGATTCAAAAAAACCAAAATTAAAAAAAAATAAATAAAATTAAAAAATGTAAAAGCAAATTTAAAAATGAAATAAAGAAAATAAGATCAAAATAAAATATTATAGCATTATAGTAAAAACTCTAAATGAAAAAAAAAAAATGAAATGGAAAATATAAAAAATTATATGTAAGAAAAAAGCATAAAATAAATTTAAATAAATTAAAATAAAATTTCATAAAATTAATTAGAATAGAATAACATAAAAAAATTAAATAAAGTGAAATAGTAATAAATGAAACAAATAAAAAGTTAAGTATTACAAAATAAAATAAAATAAAAGTTTAATTAAAGATAATATAAAATAAAACAAAATTAAAAAAAAAATCAAAAAATAATTATAAAATAGAATACAATAAATCAACATAATTTTAAAACATTGAGTAAGACTAATAAATAAAAATATAAAAGATAAATTAAAATAGAAAAATACAAAGCAGACCTTAAATAAAATTAAAAAGTTAACAAAAAAACAAAAGCATAGAAAAAAAAAATAAAATATAATAAAACAAAATAGAGGAAATTGAAATAAAATCTTAATAAAATAAAGTAAAATGTCATTTTTATAAAGCAAAATAAAATAAGCAACAAAATGAACTATAAATGGGATAACATAGTTTGTATTTAATAAAAAAAAGTTAAAACTTAATTACAAAAAAAAAAAAATAAAAATAAAAAAATGAAATAAAAAATGGATATACATACATATGTGTAATAAACTAAAAATGAAAATGAAGTAAAAAAATTAAACGAAATAAAATAACTAATTAAGGGAATAGAAAAGTATAAAAGAATAAAGTAAGTGAAAAGAAAAGCTTAATAAAATAAAATGCAAATTTGAAACAAAAAATTAAATAAAAAGCAAAGCAAAACAAAATAAAGCAACATAAAAAAATAAAAATAAGTACCTATTCATAAAAGAATAATGTAAATGAAAATTATGTTAACTTAAACTTAAGAAAACAACCCCAATAATTTTTTTTTTTAACGCTAGCCGATCTCAAATGCTTGGCTAAAATCATGATCACCTTTAATTAATGTGGAGAAAAACTCGTTATTTTATAAAAAATTTTTTTCTTTTATTTTCCTATAACTCTAAACACCCTGTAAACCGCGCCAACACACTAACCAATGGGTTTATTAAAAAGCCTTTTGCCGTTATTTTCCGGTTCGAGTAGCGTAAAGGAGTCGGTCGCGTCTGGACAGAGTTTTAGAGTGTTAATATAAAAAGTATATAAAGTTATAAAAATAAACCGCAAAAAAATATGAAAACCGCCATTTTGTGTATTTACATGAGCTGGCTAGTGATTTTGCAAATCCAAGCTGATGTACAAGAAAACGGTAATGATCGATCAGATTGTGTAATAATAAAAATTATTCGAAGGAAATATTATTTAAATGATTAAAAAAAAAAACAGTTCTGTGCGTTAAAAAATATATATAAAATAAAAATATTTGAATAAAATTATACATTCCACTTAATTTTCAATACAAGTTTTTAAGATCTAAGTTGTGCTCGTAATAGTTTATCCAGCTCCAGCTGTGCTGGATGACAGAAAAATCAAAACGACTTTCCCCTGTTCCAAAAAAAAAGAACGCAGAAAATTATATAAAAGAACGACATTGGTACCACATAATTTCTAGAGGTTCAAACTTTGCCTTAATCTTCTTGGGAAAAAAATGATTACTCGTATAGAAAGGACATTTAAACGCTTCGAAAAAAAAACCGGACATAAAACTTTGATGATTACCAATCTGAAGCCCGAATATAAATTCTTAAAAATAAAAAATAAAAAAATATTTGGTACTCTAAAACTTGGACATAATTTCTTAGTAGCTTTAAAAATGGCAATAAATTTTTGGTACCTTCAAAACCGAACTCAAATTTTTCGACATAAAATTTTGACAATTTTAACTTTTTAAAGATACTAAAACTGAACATACATTTTTGGTAATTTCAAAACTCAACATAATCTCTTGACAATTTCAAACTGAACATAAATGTGAACATAATTCTTGGGTTTTTAACAAGCGGAAAGCATTTTCTGATATTTTTAAATTAAAAAAAAAAATTACCCTAGAGTTTTAAATTGCTAAAGATGCATACCCAGTATATGGTTTTGAGTGCTTATTTGTTTCGTTTTAAGCTTAGTATCCAGCTTTCAAGAAATGCATTTATTCCTTTGACCGTTTTCTTATGAACTGGGTACTAAGCTTTGGCAAAAAAAATTATTAGAACGCTTTATACGTCAGCTCTTAAAGTTTCCTAAGAACGTTCGAAGCTTTGACAAAATCTTCAATTTTACACTACTACAATGGGTCCTTCTTTCTAAAAAAAATATCTTATTTCATTGGAAATACTAAACCATTTTAAGCGACCTACTTACTGCAGGTCGTAAACCTGTTGGACTTAACAGACTGTATTTAAAATTATTCTAACTTGAAAACTCTTAACTTATTTACTAAACGCTCTTTTGCATGATCATAATTTTAAACTTGGCTATAGTAAAGACAAATGTTTGCAGTTTCTCAAAAAAATTCTGAGTTTTGCAACGGTGAAGTAAAAACAAGTAATTTTAAGCAAAAAACAAAACCGACTTAAATTCTCATATACAAATTAAGATTATTGTTAATCTCTTCATGATCCTATGATCGGATTTAAACCAAATTAGAATGGGACTACCTGTGAGGTAACACCTTTCATTTGAAAAAAAAATTATAGAAATCGGTTAACGTGGTCCAAAGTTATGCGGTAACATACATAAAAAAAACAGAAGCAAGTAATTTTTAAAATAAATATAAAACAAGTAATTTTTTGCAAAAAAAAACCGACTTCAACTCTCATATAAAAAAATATATATATATATATCTCATGATCCGCTGATCGGATCTTAACCAGATTAGTATGGGACCACCTCTGAGACACTACCTTTCCGATGCAAAAAGAATTATAAAAGAAAATCGGTTGACGTGGTCCAAAGTTATGCGGTAACATACATACAAAAAAAAAAAATATTCCGACGAACTGATAACCTCCTCCTTTTTTTGGAAGTCGGTGAATAAAATAAATAAAAATGAAAATAAAAAAATATTCCGACGAACTGATAACCTCCTTTTTTGGAAGTCTGTTAAAAAAATATATATTCCTACGTATTGATAACCTTCCTCCGTTTTGTCAAGTCGGTTAAAAATAAAGATTTGTTTTGTATGTATATTTCATAATTCATCACAGAAAAAGCAAACCTGAACCTCAGTTGAATGATTCTGTTTAATGCATGAAATATGGAGCAGTAAATGGGCTATTTATTTTCCAGCTGGGTTATATATGTACATAAGTTTCATTAATTTGCTTTATGTTAGGACTTATAATTTTTTTCGAGTTTTATTTTTTAGTTCGAAGAAATAATAAATAGCCGCCACTCACACCGCGGTTAGGTTAAAGAGCGCCGGCTAGTAATTTGATTAATTCACTCAGGCGTCGAAATTTGGCTTCTTTCCAACCAGAACTGATCGGTGCCCTAGCCACTCCACCTAAGTATGCCCTTCTCACTCAAGGGATTATTTAGCGGGGTATATAATGTGGAACCTGGCCCCCTTACATGTTTCTGTGATTGTCTAATGATTAGTGTATCTTTGCACTGATGGTTACATTTGGTGCATGCCTAAATATTTTACGCAACTCTCCTCGATCAATCTGATTTTTCTGCAAAAGGCTTTTAAATTTGTTTAAACTAAAACGGTTCTGCACAAAGTTCAATGCAAGAGACAAAATATTCAAAGGATCAAATAAAATGCGGCTCGGTTGAAAATAGGTTTGCAAAGCGGAGTTTTTCACCATAGCAGAGGAAGCTGATTAGTTTCTTGCTAACAAGGTACCCTTCAAATCGGAATATTAGAGCCAAGTAGCAACTCATTGATGAGTCGCTCGAAACTAGTGGAACTGACCTCTTTTTTTTCAGACACACTCCGACTTTAAGCATATATAAATAGCGGGGTCACAGTGCTACATATTGCAAGAAACTATATTTGTTAATTAATTGGCTAGACAAGGAACTATTGAGAAGATATCGCGAAAAAAAGTTGTTGACTACTGGCAGTCTACTACTGTAGAGTGATGAAAGTAATATTGATGGGCATCTTATGGCGTTTTCGTTTCTACAAAAAAATGTTGCCTTGTTTCATTGTCTGGTTATTAGTATTTATGCTTAGAGGGCAATGAGAAGGAAATATTTTTCAGTACACTCAAAAAAAAGTTGTCATCAGGGCGATACTATTTAGCCATCAACGTTAAACTTTCGAGTATCTATTTTTCCTCATTAATCATCTTATTTAAATGATAGTTTTCGTTGTTACATTGAAAAATTTTTCGTTGTTACATTGAAACCAAAATAACCAAAAAGAATATACTGGTCTCAATTTGATATTGTTAAGGGTAAAACTTGTGGTTTTCTTCATCAAATTAATAACCAAAATACAAATCTAATATTTTTCAATACACTTTTTACATTATTAATGGTTATATTGCTACCGAAAAATGTTACTGTTTAAAGTTTCATTTTAACGCAAAGTGTATTAAACCCATCACTATTTTTTTTGAGTGTAGAAACGAAAACGCCATTAGTCGGTCACTGCCCGCAAAAAATTTACGCGGCGACACTCAGATCGTTACTTCAAGTCTGATCTATGAAAACTATCATAAATACGATGAAGAACCTCCACGGACATATCTTCCACCGAACCATGACATGAGTTCCATGGAAGTTATGTCATGAATTTACTAAAATCTATCGATTTTTGGTCCATGGAAGTAAAGTGTGGCATTACTTCCACAGACTTGATTTATAGAAGTTATGTCAGACATAAGTTCCATGATAACTGTTTATTAATTGAACCACAAATTGATGAACCCGACTTTTTTAAAAATCTTAAATTTTAGTGTTAAAGTTGGAAGTCTGGCGCAAAATTAGGTATTTTTGCTTAAAACTTTTTGAAAAACTGGTCAATGTTCTGAGATTATTGATATTATTGTATTTACCACATCTTCCACGAGATAAAATAATGGATGGATAAAAGATTTTGGTAGCACAAACGTTGAATTTCAATTGCCCTACATTATTGCAGCCAATTTTCGAAGCTATCAGGTTCTTTTTTAATTTCGTGCTTTATTTTTAGAAAATGTTAAATGAACTTCTGGTTTTCAGTTTGAAAATGCGCGCCAATTCGGCTTTAGAAATCTAATGTTGCATTGGTAAAACATTTTCCTATTAATTGGAATTTCGTCCGTTTTCTTTCGCTTTTAATCTTAGAAGAAGATCACATTTCTACCCAACTTTTGCGAGTTACGAATACTGGTTATCAGCCACCGGGTAAGACAAAAAAACTTCGGCGGGATTCTCAAATCGATAAGGTCTCCAAATTATTGTTAGAGGACCAAATGAATATCGAACCATTTTTATCGAAGGTGGCTTTAGAAAAGGTAATCGAGTAAACTTCTTAGAAAACGATGAATAAGACGAATTTGACATTGAAATTGAGGACGAATTAGATGATGACTTGACCGAGTTTTCTAAGGAAAATTCGAACGCAAACACTTCTGCCGAGTCTCAAGAAGTTCTAAATTCTGGAAATCTCAAAATCTGTATAAAAACATCGGTGCGAAATTGTGTTTATTCTCTGTGGTCATGGTATATATTCAAAGTGCTGTACGAATGATATTATAATTTATCCCTAGTATACATATGTATGTAGTTGAAATTATATAAATGCAATAAATTTATACATTTTCATGGTTGAACTGAAACGGTAATTAATTTTTGTTCCTAAATAGTGTGAGAACGGAGCGCTTCGATCGCTCGATGTTGGCATCTCGGATAGAGCGCACGTCAAGAACGATCGAAGCGTATCTTCCGTCTACACACAACATGATCAATTTGGTTCTTCATTCTTTGATCAGGGGACACCCAAGTGGCTTTGTGGATGTTTTAATGCTGGTGCCTGGTACTACTACCTAACATGTTCCGTGCCGCGGCGAAGATTAAGGCGATTCGCTCACTGATGGGCGTGAACCGGGAGATAAGATGTCGTAGTCTCCGCCCAATCACAAATCCTACACCAAATTTGTGCGCCGTCTCATGGCAGCTATAGTAGATGATGTCGCATGATGCAAATTTGTTGCAGTCATGCCCCGTCCATCGCACTTCCTGAACTGCGGTGATTTCAGCCTGGTATTTTGTGATGACATCTAGCAGTTCGATAGAGGCGCCTTCTCTATAGAGGGTCCGGACATTCCATGTGCATATCCGTAAATCGCGGCTTTTTTGGTCTTTTCATTGGAAAACTGTATTATGTGGTGGGTCCCAAGCCCACCGTACAACCCATTGCTGGGAGGGAGGTTTCTCAACCGAATAGACGTTTAAAAAGCGAGCCGCTTGCTCCAAGCAGATGCCCGCTAGCAGCCGCACCTTATGGTAAACAGACGCTGCAGACTTCAGTGGGCCCTCAACCCAAATAAGTCGGAGTGGCCCCACCGCAGCTCCCTCTCTTTATGCCGTGACCTAAGGTTCCACTCGGATTGGTTACCGCATCTCGAACATGGGTTGCTCACGTTGCCCAAAGTGCGCCCTTGTTTGCCTGCAACCTAGAAAACCTAGGATATCTTCGTAGTACGCAGCGTATCTCCTCTTACCTCAATTACCTTACCGTATATTAGCCATGCTACCTCTACCAGTTGACTTTAAAAAACATCGCTACATGTTACCATAAAAGGCAGTTCATAATACTTATCCATCCACCTATTCCCCTCTTCTTAAGGGTTGACATTTAATTCACACAATTCAACCTAAAGTCGGAAACCTAATAGCTCTTTTGAAGATTTCCTCATATTTTCCAAGAAAAATGGGCTCAGAAGGAATTTATATGCATATGTATGAGAAAGAGAGCAGAAAATATCGGCGCGTACTGAAAAGGTAGAAGATCTTCTTTGGATCTTATTTTAGCAATGAATGGCATTTGGGTTCTGCCTTCTTATTCCACTTTCTTCTTTATAGAGAATAAGTAATAAGTAATTGAGTCAATAATGTCAGTTTATAGTTAAGAGTAGGGCTGTGCGATTAATTGATTACTCAAAATTTTAATTAATCATAAAGTAAATAACTCAATTATTCGATTAATTGGAAATTATGATTACTCAAAAGTTCAGTTACTCGAGTAATCAAGATTTTTGATTAACCAAAAACAAAAATATTTGAGTAATTTGCTTTATGATTAATCAACATTTCGAGTAAAATGAGTAATCAACATTTCAACTCTTTACATATGTATAAAGTAGTTAAAGTTCCTTAATACTTTGAAAACAACGTTTCTGTTTTCAAAAATTAAAACGAAAAATTTTTTCATATACAGAATGTAAAAAAGTAAATAAGCATTTTCCAAAGTAAACTCTTTTAACGAGCAAAATAATTTTTTTGAGTAATCATATTTCAAGTAACTCGATTAATCATCGTTTTGAGTAATCAAAATCTTGGTTACTCGAGTAATTGATTAACCGAATAATTGATTAACCAACTTGTTCGAGTAATCGAATAATCGCACAGCCCTAGTTAAGAGAGTTTTAAAAATGTATTCTTATCATCATTTCAGATTTTGCTGAGCTTTGTAATCAATGCAAAGGAAACGCTTTACCTAGGTGCGCAACCGCAGACGATGCTAGGCTGCGCAAGAGAGTCGAATGCAAATCAGAGGGTTGCACAATAGCGATGGGTAAACGAAAATGAGAATATTTAATACTTTGCAATTAAAGTCCTTTGGAAAAGCTCAAACTTTTTCATTTCTTTAATACGTCCTTTTAATTACTTCCCTCTAGCCACCGACGCCGAAACCGATTACATATGCTTGATGGATGACGAAAGCCAGAAGAGTGTAATGACCAAACAAAAGGATAATGGACCACAGAGGACCACGTTGCCGGTGCCACTAGCTCTACAGATGGTTCCGACGACGGAAAGCTCTAAAGTGGACGCTCCAGCATCTACTGATCCAACGCATACAATTGAAATTATTGGAACTGGAGCAGAAAATGTGAGTGTTGCCGGTCAGGAGGAGCAGAAAGATAATGTCCCTGCAAAGACAGAGAGCGAAGAAACAATAAATAAGAAGGAAAACGGGCAAAGTGCTGAAAATGAGGAAAAGTCTGCAGAAGAAGTGGATGCGTCAAAGCCAACTGGAGAAAAGATAAAACCAGAGCAAGCTAACAATTCAGACAAGGCAGAGTCAGTAGAAGTTAGCGCTGAAAAAGGGACTGCAGAAATAGATTTAGCAGCACCAATTTTGCCACCACCAATAGCGAAACCTGAAATTATACCAAATTCTGCAGATTACCCCGCCGATGCACCGGCCATGGAAGTGGCTACTTCGAATGAGGAAGAAGAACAACCTCACACAGCAGATGGCAATGAATCAGCGAAAGTCGACCATAACGTGGCAGAGTCAAGTAAACAACAACAAAATGCGAGTGAAAATAGCGGCGAGGGAAAGCAAATGCTATCGGCGGAGAAAGGTGAAGTTAGACCAAACAGTGCTGAGCAAGATGATATGAATGAAGGCGGGCATGATACTTCGGTTGCAGAAAATGATAATACGGCGCAAGTGAGTGAGGGAGAGGTTGATAAGCCTATCCATAACGCTGGAACGCCGGTAGGTCCTGAACCTATTGGCACTTTGGCGCCTGCTCCCACCCCTGCTGCTGCTCTCGGCGCTGACCAATTCCTCACCTGCTATTCGTGCTCTAGCACCACGGATACAGGATGCGCTGCAGGACCAGGAAATGCTGTAAATTGTAAAGCTATGGAGGATAAACAAAATGGTTGCTATACACTCTATAAAGGTAGGTGAATTTATATTTTTTTTTTAGTTTTGCAAAGTGGTTTAATTTATTGCATTGATTGTGTACTATATATTTTGTTTGCAACTCGCTGTTGAAATTTGTATCGTCATCGTTATCGAAATACTTACCGATAACAAATATCGTCATATTTCTGACTCAACAGCCATCTACACTGATGGCTCCAAGTTGGATCTGAAGGTAGGAAGTGGGGTATACTCGCAAGAACTCTCACTTAGCCTCAGTTTCCGTCTGCCAGATCTATGCAGCGTTTTTCAGGCTGAACTAACAGCAATAAATGAAGCTGCAAGCTGGCTGATCGATTCTCTAATTAATCTGAAGGCGGTAACAATCTTATCTGACAGCCAAGCGGCTATTAAAGCACTTAATAGTGACAAATCTACGTCGAAGGTTGTCTTGGAATGTAGACGTACTCTTAATGAACTGGCAAGGTGTTACGTCACTAATGTTGTGTGGGTGCCAGGCCACAAAGACATACCAGGAAACTGTACTGCAGATGAACTAGCAAGGAAAGGAACCTTGTTGCCTGCAATCAGTACAGCCCGTAATGCGGGCATTCCGCTATCTTCTTGCAAGCTCTGGCTTGAGAATAACTTCGTCGGACAGGCTAATAAAAGATGGTCTGCGGAGCCTACTTGCAGGATAGCAAGACATATCTGGCCTAAGCTTGACAAGCGTAGATCTCACCCTCTTCTCCACTTGGAGCGACCACTGTTGCGGCATGTTATTGGAGTTCTCACCGGGCATTGCCTGATGGGAATCCACGCCACTAGAATGGGTTTGCAGTCAAACGACTACTGTCGTAGCTGCCGCGATGAGGAGGAAATCGAAAGCGTGGAGCACTACTTATGCCACTGTCCTGCTCTGGCTAGAGCTCGCCGATGCTCGTTCCTCCATTATTCTTTTGAATGTCTGGCCGAACTGGATTCAGCCAGTGTCTATGACTTTGTGCGCTTTATCAGAGCAACGAAGTGGTTCCACTACTAGGGTAAGAGGAGGGACATATGGAGTCTCTTATACGGCATCACAACGGGCCCTTGGTGGCCTAAGTGTGCTCTTTTCCTGAGGGATTAGGGCAGCCGAGTTAACCTAACCTAACCTAATATCGTCATATTTATCGATATTTTTATGAATATACTTATCGGCTGCTATGGCTCAGTGGTTATAGGTGCGTACTATTTACCACTCCGTAGGAACTGGGTTCGATCCCTGGTCCGAGGGACATCTATGTTAGAAAAAAGTTTTTTCTCACCAGCGGTTGCCCTTCGGCCTGCAATGACAAACCTACGAGTGCATTTCTGCCATGAAAAAGATCATAAAATCCATTTGTCGCTTGTGTAACAACATTAAGACACACAACACAAATTAGAGGAAAAGCTCGGCCAAACATTTGGCAAAACCGTAAGCGCCAATCACTTATCGATTTCGTAGATTCGTTATCGGAATCGTTATCGAAGTCGCTAGAGATGGATGAGTTTTCAGAACTTTTTGAACTATTCAATCTATCGCTCTAGGTAGGATCTCCTCAAATCAATTTTTAAAGAAATATTTGTGATGGAGAAATCGATGGCAGTTCATCCTGCCGTCGGCCCTCGCGGCCCAGACTAAAAACTAGGCATTCGCCGTATGGAATGGCTAATAGTGGAGAGAGGTAAAAGAGTTGTTTAACTGGGAAAATATGCTAACTGTAAAGAAAGAATGAAGAGTTTCACTCTGTTATATCAAAACCAAAAATACAAATGGGGAGGCACACACTAATTTTTTGACATCATCCGATAATTTTTTTTGCTTTGCTGTTCGTTTTCGTCTCAATAAAACAAAAAAGTGCTTATTTCATACAACGCTTCCAAGGAAGATTTTCTGCATTTGCGGCGGTTACGGGCAGTGTTGCCGTTTTGATACATATGTATCCAATTGGATACATTTTCGCCTTAAATTGTGAGGGATACTTCGTTTTTTTCCTCAGTGTAAATTATAAGTATTCGTAAGTTGAAGGAAATTTTTTTATTTATGTACAAGCTGTTATAACATTTTTAACAGTTGGCTGCTCATCCTCCAAGCAAGAAATTTTTCTTTGTTCTTGTCACTTTGAAAAATTAATTTTTTAGCTACATAAACGTGCATTTAATAACACCAAGTAGTTTGCAAATTTTAAAAAGTTTTCCGACCTGTAGTAGTTAATTGTAATGCGAAAAAATCAACTTTTACATCCCGAGCAACCCTTCTCTTAGCATTCAAACGTAATTGACAACTATGCCGATGACTAATTTTCAACAATAACTTGACTGTACTAAAAATAATTTATAACTTCTAAATTTTCAGTTATACATATGTCGTTAAGCGAGAATTCAAATAAACCGGAAATATAAATTTTTTTTGAAGGCGGAATTTACAGACAAATGCAAGTTTTTGAGCAATTTTTTAATTTCATAGATAGCTCGCAGCTTGATCGAAAAAACATTGTAACCATAATAGCAGGAAATAAAAATTTACCAAACTAAATATAGCAGGTCAAAATGAGTTTAAATTAGTATTATTTTGATAGACTAGGAAACATTTTTTGCACGTATTATTTGTGGGAATCTATTCGTAACATCGAATATGCAGATACTTTGGCCCGGAGTTGTTGTCGGTATTTTTCCATTCTTAGAAACAGATTTGGGAAACAAAGGCCCGAAGTTATAATCAAAATTAAGTCGACACTAAAGTTAGTTGCAGCTTTTTTGACAGGTATGCCATTGAAAATTATATCAAAAAGCTGCAATTAACTTTAGAGTCGACTTAATTTTGACTATAACTACGGGCCTTTGTTTCCCAAATCCATGTCCAAGGATGGCAAAATACTGACTACATGTTAATAAGTTTATTAAGGGGCCGAGTTTATCTTCCATAGATGTATTTACTGTGTAAAAATGTCCGCCCTTTTCGGCGAATACATTTGGATACAGTTTTCGATTTTTATGGTTTACTGGTTACGGGTGTTATCGGAAGTGTCGGGAAAAGATTTTGGTTCCGTCCCGCCCGTCAAAGTTTCAAAGATCTTACCGATACCGCCCATCCCGGCCATTTTGAAATCAATACCGTGGATCCCGCGGGTACCGATACACCGCGCCCATCTCTAGTTCAAAAGACTTTATAACTTTAAACTCCGTAATCAGATGGCGAAAGAAAGTTATGAAAACGCGAAACGGTGGAGAGGAGAACTGAAAAAATTAAATAATATATTTGTTATAAGTAAAAATATTCTATGGGGGAAAAATCTGTCGCGCCCCATATGTCACATCCATTACCGCATTTTAATTCAAAATAAAACCAACAACTAATTGCTTCTGATTAAATATGGTTAAGTAAAGAAAATCTCACATAATTTGTCACGTTCATCGAGTTTCCTGGCACGAGTGTTGCAAGCGCACGTAATTTTTTTGTCAACCAAAGGACAGTATAAAGGCTACACAACGGCATTTTTTTTTGATAAGTGACTTCCGTTTTCGTATGATTTATTTAACTCTAAAGTCGAACGAATGTCACGCCGGACATCATGGAAACACCCATGTGTATGTATCTACTGAAAACGTCAATAACAATGTCGGATAACAAGAATAACATCGAAAAAAAAAATGATAATGATATCTAAACATTTATCGATAATGTATATCGATTACTATTTCGATAACCATATCGATAAATATATCGATGCGTTTTCGAATTATAATTAACAAATAGGTAGAAGTCAAATATGTTTACACCGAAATTTCGATAACTATAACGATAAATTCCCCGAAATAATCCACAAATGCCTTACGTAGTAGAAATACATACATATGTATATCGATAAATTTATTGATAATGGGGAATAAATTCATATGTGCATGTGTAAGTATGTATGTTTATTACAAGCTATTGATATCTGTAAAGAAAACGAGCAAGAACATAAATTCGAAGAAAGAGTTTCACTACGCAAAAATCTCATTATGTATATATTTTTTGTTATTAAAATAAACTTTTCCACACTATTTATTTATTTATTTTTCCAGCTGACACAAATGTCACTACACGCGGCTGCATTTCCGAACTTACCGAAGATGGCATCAAGTACTGCATGTCAAATTCGAAAAAGTGCATACTTTGTTACGAGAAGGGTTGCAACAACCTATTGGCGCCATCATCTGCTATCCGAAGTAATGCAATGCTGAGCTTTTGGCTGGGAATCGCTAGTTTTGTGTGTTTTACATTTTTAGTTTGAAGTAAATAGAATTTTGTCGTAATTAAAACTAAATATCTATTAAAAACTATGTCAAATACACATCTATTCCTTAATTCGAATAAAAAAAAAAGAATAAAATTTTTGTTGGTACTCCAATTTTTATTAATTACATCTTATTTATTAACATATAAATAATAAATATACATACATACATATGTACATAATTAGTGAGCAGTTAAAGCAAATGTAAGTGCATATTTATATTTTTTTTTGAATATAAATTATTTATGTGTTATTGTTAATATGAATGTATGTATGTTTGTGTATTGGTAAACATATTGCAAGCCACTTCATTTTAGACGCCACATTGTTAGCAGAGCAGCAGCCAATAGTCCATTTGAAAGCAGCAAATATGCCGCACCGTTATTCACTGCCTTCGTATTGCAATTTGTTGTGTTGCAAACTTGGCAACTCTCGTTGGTAGTGTCATTGCAAATCAGCTTATCAGTGTCGTCCAAATCAACAACGCAGCCGCGAATAACTAAGTCATTATCTGTAAAAAATAATAACGAAAAACAATAAAATTACAATGAAATATAATTAAATTAGTTAAAATGAAATAAAATAAAATAAAATAAAATAAAATAAAATAAAATAAAATAAAATAAAATAAAATAAAATAAAATAAAATAAAATAAAATAAAATAAACTAAACTAAACTAAACTAAACTAAAATAAAATAAAATAAAATAAAATAAAATAAAATA